CATGTTGAAGCTACGTTATGTATGATCATTATGAGTATGGTAAGTTTTGATGAAGTATGATCTTATGTATGTATGCATGAAGTAGGTTGCTTAATGTAATACTTTGCTTTGAATAGGGTTATGGGATTCTATTCCTTGCATTGCACTAGTATTACTTGGGTTGTCTACTGTTGGGATGATATTATGTTGGTTTGTACTATGATGCTTACTTTGTGTGCATATTGGATTTACTTGGTAAAAAGCATTATTTGACTAGAATGACCTTTTATGCATGTTTCATTGGTTTTAATGCATAGTAGTCATACTTGGAACGTGTGTTGTACTATCCCATAATTTTCTCCTTTTTCCCCAAACATTTAGGTTCGGGCCGTTGAGGATTCAAGCTTACTTCTCAAGACACTTGGAGTTGCTTCCCCCAATTGGTGAGTCCTCAAGTCCGAGGACAAGACCCTATGATCTAGCTTCTATGTTTAGTTCTTTGCTTATGTTGAAAGACATTGTTGTACTTTCCTATTTCTAGACTTCTTATTGATGTAAGGGCTAAGTCCCATTTTCGAAATCTCTGTGTTAGATGGTACATTATGACGAAGTTAGATTCTGTTTTCATATCTGAAGTGAAGTTGAACTTCCAAAGTAAAATTTTTAAATTTTCTGTGTTTTTATCCTATGATGCATGCTATGATCATTGCTAAGGGCTTGTATAAGACCTCTTCGAGGTCGAATACGCCGGTAATGACTAGGGGGTGCTCTCGGGTCGTTACAAAGTTTGTATCAGAGCATAAGGTTGAGAATAATGTAGGATCCATGTCACAAGATACCACGTCGAGTACAGTCTTGTTCATGGATGTGAAGCGCGCCACACTTATGAATGGGAGGCTACGAGATGCTTAGGAACTTTCACTCTTTTGTTATTCCATAGTCGTGCTTAAGAGTCTTAACTCTATCTAGTCCTTCTCTTCTAATCCTTTTCTTGTGCTTATAGACAATGAATACAAGAAGGAACAATGCAAGGAGGGTCGGTGAGGAGAATGTGAATGAGGCGGTTCCCACTCAAGCTCCTCAAAACCCTCAAGTTCCTATTGAAGAAAGAGCTATGTCTAATGTTGAGATAAGGTCGGCTATGCATAATTTGACTCAAGTGTTGGCCACTCAAGTTGCTAGGGATGCTAGGGTGCAGGTAACCCCAATGCTAGCACTACCGCTTCTAGGATAAGGGATTTCACAAGGATGAATCCCCTTACTTTGTTTGGCTCGAAGGTGGAAGAGGATCCACAAGGATTCATTGACCAAGTGTTTAAGGTTCTAGAGGCTATGGGTGTGTCTTCTCAAGAAAAGGCGTAGTTAGCCGCCTATCAACTCAAATATGTGGCACAAGTGTGGTATGAACAATGGAAGGAGGGGAGACCTATTAGATAGGGTCCGATAAGTTGGGCTACATTCAAGAGAATTTTCTTGATAGGTTTTTCCCCTTGGAACAAAGGGAGAGGAAAATGCAAGAATTCATCAGGCTTCGTCAAGGGAGTATGAGTGTGAAGGAGTATGACCTCAAGTTCACTCAATTGTCAAGCATGCTCCTACTTTGGTGTCAAACTCTAGTGCTACAATTAAAAAAAATTGTTATGGGAGTATCCGATCTTGTGGTTAATGAATGTAGGTCGGCTATGCTAATCCCAAGCATTGACATTTCTCATATTATGGTTCATGCCGAACAAATTGAGGAGCAAAAGCTTAAGAAAGTTTGTAGAGAATTGAAGAGGTCAAGGGCCGATGATGGAAATTCTTCTAAGGTTAGGTTTGAAATCCAAGATAAACCAAAGTTCAGAAAGAGGTTTCCCAACCGATGTCCTCCTAACACTCCAAGGGTCAACAAAGGTAAAGTGTCTACCCCCAAGCCTCAAGAAACAAAAGGTGGTGGTCCTTATGTTGAGAAGCCTATTTGTACAAGTGTGACCGAAAACATGAAGGCAAGTGCCTAGTTGGCACGGGATATTGCTATGGTTGTGGTAAGAGCGGCCACATGATGAGGGGCTGCCCTATGCTAAAGGCTCAAGGAAGGGAAAATGCTCAAGCACAAGCAAGTGGCCCAAATCCCGATGCTCCTAAGAAGAATTGCTTCTATGCTCTCCAATCCCGAGGTGATCAAGAGAGTTCTCCGGATGTTGTGACCGGTATGTTACAAGTATTTACAATTAATGTTTATGCATTGTTGGATCCCGGTGCCACTTTGTCTTTTGTAAGCCCTTTGGTGGCTAAGAAGTTTGTTATGCTTCCCGATGTCTTAATTGAACCCTTTTCGGTTTCCACCCCGGTGGGTGATTCCATAATTGCTAAAAGAGTGTATAGGGGTTATCCCATATCATTGCCCAATAGAGTCACTTTGGTTGATTTGGTGGAACTTGATATGTTAGACTTTGATGTTAAATTGGGGATGGATTGGCTTCATGCTTGTTTTGCGTCCATAGATTGTAGGACCCGAATTGTGAAGTTTCATTTCCTAATGAACCCATTTTAGAATGGAAGGGAGGAAATTCCATACCTAGGGGAAGGATCATTTCATGTCTAAAAGCTTATAAGTTGATTTCTAAGGGTTGTCTGTATCACATTGTGAAGGTCAAGGATCTTGAGTCCGAGATTCCTCCTTTGGAGTCGGTCCCCGTAGTGAAGGATATTTTGGAAGTCATTCCCGATGACTTACCCGAGATTCCTCGCAAACGGTAAATAGATTTCGGCATAGATTTATTGCCAGATACATAACCCATTTCAATCCCTCCTTACCGGATGGCCCCAGCGAAGTTGAAGGAATTAAAAACTCAACTCAAGGATTTGTTGGATAAGGGTTTCATCCAATCTAGTATATTTCCTTGGGGTGCACCGGTGTTATTTGTGAAGAAAAAGGATGGATCTCTTCGAATGTGTATTGATTACCGACAATTAAATAAGGTGACCATTAAGAACAAGTATCCAGTCCCTAGGATTGATGACTTATTTGATCAACTTCAAGGATTTAGTTACTTTTCAAAAATTGATTTGAGGTCGGGTTATCACCAACTTAGGGTGAGAGGTGTTCCGAAAATAGTCTTCCGAATAAGATACGGTCATTTCGAGTTCTTAGTGATGTCCTTTGGTCTTACAAATGCCCCGACGGCTTTAACGGACCTTATGAACCGTCTGTTTAGAAATCTTCTAGACTCATTTGTTATTTTCTTTATTGATGACATATTGATAAACTCAAAAAGTGAGGATGATCACATGAATCATTTGAGTATAGTATTGCAAGTCCTCAAAGATCACCAACTCTATGCTAAGTTTAGCAAGTGTGAGTTTTTGCTAAGGTCGGTTGCTTTCCTTGGTCACATTGTTTCTAGTGAGGGTATAGAAGTTGATCCAAAGAAAACCGATGCGGTCAAAAGTTGCCCTAGACCTTTGAGTCCTTCTGACATTCGAAGCTTTTTGAGTTTGGCAGGTTTCTACCGGAGGTTTGTTGAGGGATTTTCATCTATTGCATCTCCATTAAAGGCCTTAACTCAAAAGAAGTCAAAGTTCGAATGGTCGGAATCTTGTGAAAGGAGCTTCCAATTGTTAAAAGATAAGCTCACCTCTGCTCCGGTTCTGACCTTACCGGAGGGCACCGAAGGGTTAGTAGTATATTGTGACGCTTCCCAAGTGGGTTTGGGTTGTGTCCTCATGCAGCATGGTAAGGTTATATCTTATGCCTCGAGACAACTCAAGGTGCATGAGAAGAATTATCCAACTCATGACCTTGAGCTAGCGGCTGTAGTCTTTTCCTTAAAGATTTGGAGACACTATCTCTATGGGGTACATGTCGATGTGTTTACCGACCACAAGAGCCTTCGATATGTTTTTACCCAAAAAGAATTGAATCTCCGACAAAGGAGGAGGTTGTAACTCTTCAAAGATTATGATATGAGTGTCTTTACAACCCTGGGAAAGAAAATGTAGTTGTGGATCCACCTAGATTGCTATGTACGAATGGTTACACCTTAGGCAATTGTTAACCCTCTCTTTTCGGTGTGGGCGTAGAACACCGGATTCCATGTAGCTCTCATGGTCTATGGCGGTTATGGAAATATCTCCCTAATGTAAGGTGTGAACTCTTACTAGGGCTTTCTTAAGGGTTTCTACATTGTGTAAGGGAGGGTATGTGACTTCTCTTGCACATTGCACTTGTGGGATCCTAAGAGACGGTTGTAGTAGTGTTCTCTTATGATGATGATGATTATGACTTATGTAAGTTGAAGCTACGTTATGTATGATCATTATGAGTATGGTAAGTTATGATGAAGTATGATCTTATGTATGTATGCATGAAGTAGGTTGCTTAATGTAATACTTGGCTTTGAATAGGGTTATGGGATTCTATTCCTTGCATTGCACTAGTATTACTTGGGTTGTCTACGTGTTGGGATGATATTATGTTGGTTTGTACTATGATGCTTACTTTGTGTGCATATTGGATTTACTTGGTAAAAAGCATGTTTTGACTAGAATGACCTTTTATGCATGTTTCAATGGTTTTTATGCATAGTAGCCATACTTAGTACGTGTGTTGTACTGACCCATAATTTTCTCCATTTTCCCCAAACATTTAGGTTCGTGCCGTTGAGGATTCAAGCTTACTTCTTAAGACACTTGGAGTTGCTTCCCCAAATTGGTGAGTCCTCAAGTCCGAGGACAAGACCCTATGATCTAGCTTCTATGTTTAGTTCTTTGCTTATGTTGAAAGACATTGTTGTACTTTCCTATTTCTTGACTTCTTATTGATGTAAGGGGTAAGTCCCATTTTCGATACCTCTATGTCTAGATGGTACATTGTGACGAAGTTAGATTATGTTTTCATATATGAAGTGAAGTTGAACTTCCAAAGTAAAAGTTTTAAATTTTCCGTGTTTTTATTCTATGATGCATGCTATGATGAATGCTAAGGGCTTGTATAAGACCTCTTCGAGGTCGAAAACGCCGGTAACGACTAGGAGGTGCTCTCAGGTCGTTACAAAATTAATATTTTCCTTGTAAAGCGCAGACCTCTTATATGCTCTCAAGTGAAACTCATCCATCTCATTGTTTTGATCCAGTCTCAGGTTTCTAGTTTCACTCCAACTAAGATTTAGCTTCTTCAAAGCCCAGAGTGCCTTATGGTCAAGCTCAACCGGCAAATGACATGTCTTTCCAAACACCAATTGATATGGAAACATACGAATAGGCGTCTTGAAACCTGTCTCATATACCCATAGAGCATCATCTAACTTCCGTGTGCAATCTGTCTTGTTGGCATTCACTGTTTTCGCCAGAATCACCTTTATTTCTCTATTGGAAACCTCCACTTGGCCACTGGTCAGCGGGTGATAAGGTGTTGCCACCTTTCGTTGTTTAACCCCATATTTGGCCAAAAGAGAATTGAATACCTTATTGCAAAAATGGGAACCACCATCACTGATAATAACTCTAGGTGTACCAAACCTTGAGAAGATATTCTTTTTCAGAAAGCTAGCAATAGTTTTGCCATCATTCTCAAGCGAAGGAGATGCCTCAACGCATTTGGACACATAGTCCACTGCCACCAATATATACATCTGCCCATAAGAGCTCACAAATCGGCCCATGAAATCAACTCCCCACACATTAAATAACTCTACCTCCAAAATAGGTGTCATGGGTAGCTCGTGGCGCCGAGAGATGGCTCATTGTCACTGGCACACATCACAACTCCTTGCTATATCCATTGCATCTTGATGAATTGTAGGCCCGTAGTACCCACTCAGAAGTACCTTGTGGGCTATTCGAGCGCCTCCATGATGGCCACCCACTAGAGAGGAATGACAAGCCTCTAAGATATGTATCATCTTAACCTTAGGGATGCATCACCTGATGATATTGTCAGCACACACCCTGTACAAATAAGGTTCATCCCAAAAATACTTACCCACATCGTGCATGAACCTCTTCCTTTGCTGAAATTTCAACCCCTTAGGTATCAAGTCACTAATAAGAAAGTTAGCAAAATCAGCAAATCAAGGAATAATATCAAGAGTTGCAGCTAATACCTGCTTATCCGAAAACGAATCACTGATTTCTAGCTCAAGTTCCTTTTTCTTTTCAGCATCCAATCTAGACAGGTGGTCAGCCACCTGGTTCTCACAACCTCTCCTATCCTTAACCTCAAAAACAAACTCCTGAAGCAGCAACGCCCATCTGATCAACCTTGGCTTGGCATCTTTATTTGCCATGAGATATCTCAGAGTTGCATGATCCGTGTGGACTATCACTCTAGTACCCATCAAGTAAGCTCTGAATTTCTCGAAAGCATACATCACAACCAGTAGTTCCTGTTCAGTGACTGTGTAGTTTTGATGTGCCCCATTTAGTGATTTGCTAGCATAATAGATCGGATGGAACATCTTGTTGCGCTTCTGCCCCAACAGAACTCCTAGGGCAGTACCACTAGATTCGCACATTACCTCAAATGGTTTAGCCCAGTCTGGGCCAATGATCACTAGGGCAGAAATCAGCTTCTCCATCAGGCATTCAAAGGCTTTTAGACGTGCCTTATCAACAACAAATTTCACCTCTTTCTCCAAAATCTTGCACAAGGGGTATGCATTTTCGAGAAGCCCATGATGAAATGCCTATAAAATCCGGCATGTCCAAAAAAACTTCTAACACCCTTTCACACAGTTAGGTGGGGGAAACTTTTCAATCACCTCAAATTTGGCCTTGTCGATCTCTAAACCCTTTTGAAATACCTTGTGACCAAGGACTATACCTTCCTTGACCATGAAATGACACTTCTCCCAATTAAGAACTAGATTGGGCACTTATCTCATCCTTCATCTGCATCTTTTTTTATTCAAGAAAGAATCGTTCCAAGAAAGTCTCTTTCAACTCAGTCCAAGATCTGATTGAGTCATCTGGTATTTCATTCAACCAATTGGTTGCCTCCCCAGTAAGAGACAATGGAAACAACCTCAATCTCATTGTTGTTTGGCTCACTCAAGGAATTTCATGCGATTTGCATATCGGCACAAAGTTCATCAAATGCTAATTCGCGTCATCATCAACTGCACCTCTGAACATACCTTTCAAATTCAACAATTGAATCATAGTGCTGGTGATTGTAAACTTCATACCTAGAGGTACTACAGGTAACACTATCGCTCCTGTGGCTCCGGCTCCGGCCAAGTCCAAGTCATCTTCTTCGTACATCATGTGAGCTAGATGTTATGCTCTACCCCTTCGAACTAGTGGTTGGCGGTGGGGAGGGACTATCTCATCCACTCTCACATTTTCCCCCACCACCCTAGGCTGGTTGTTTACAACATTTTGCTGAGCACCTCTTGCAGCGGTCTCAGCCTCAAGTCCCAATCTTTGCCTGTGCGCCTCAAGTTTTTGTGCATTGACCATTTTCCAGATTGTTTTTTGATGTTTTGGATCGTATGGAATCAATGGGGCTCCCTTACTTCTGGTGTTTGGCATACACAGTCGAACTCACCTATAAGAAACACAGACAAAGAACAAGGCTTAAAATTAGGAAATATAACTGCGCTTTGACTAAAGCTAGTAAAACACTTATGAATTGAAATTCCCCGGCAGCGACGCAAAAATTTGTTACGTCCAAGCTTACACTTAAATTAAGAAGTATAAACGGGCGAAGTCAATTTATAGAACTCAACGTGAGTTAAGGTCGATCCCATAGAGAATTTCTTTATAGAAATGATTTCATTGTTTAACCAAATGTTGTTATTATTTCTTAATGGGAAAGATTACGGAAAGTAAAATGGGTTTAGTTCTAAAATTATAGTAATGAAGGTTGTTAAGCGAAAGCCTGAGTTAACAATTAATAGAGTTTTGATTTTTAATGTTGTATTTATGATTGAATGAAGCTAGGACTGTGTTCCCCATAATGTTGCATCCAATGTTCTTTCGTAATTGAGTTTCAGGCAATTAGTCTCTACAAAATACAGGCGAGCCAGATATATCTAACACTTCTCAATCTAATTAGATAATTTTTACTCAACTCCTCTTGATCCTAGAGTGTCAACATGTTTTACGCTTGCTTATAATAGTGTTAAATTTCTTTCCTCTCGGACTCAAACTTTGACTCTATTTCGTCAGGTTAGTTTAGCTTTTTCCCAACCATCATTTTTCTTTCGGACAAATGACAGATACAGGCTACACTCTAATGCATACACTCATTAGAATACATGAATAACGAAAGCTAAATTATAATTTGCTAATATAAATTGCCTTCCACTTATCTTACAAAATTACACTTAGAGTTACGTCGTAGATCCCACAATCCCAGTTGTGGTATTTAGCCACTCATGATTTCACGTAAACATATAAAATTATATGATGAAAACACGATAAAAAAGTACTTACGAAAATATGCAAAAATTGATAAGCACTTGATAATTCAAAACCGGAAATCCAACCTTCCAAATCGATTCAACGTTAATCAACACAAACTACAACAAAGAATATTTGAAATTTAGTCATTCGTTCTAGATAAGATGAGATACAAACTAAAATCAACCTAATTAATTCAAATAAAGTGTTTAAAAAGAGTCCTACACGAAGTAGGAGTGAACTGCCAAGCAACTCCACAGACACCTTTATGATCCGTGAAGCCCTTCGTGATCTTCACTTGGCACATTTGAAACTTGGATCTTCAAAGCCAACACACTGGATAGGTACCGCAGAAAATACCACGGACCGTCAAAGAGACCACGGTCCGTATAGTTGTCTGTGGTCTTCACTTGACCAATTCCATCTTTAACTTTTCCATGACCCTTCACTGGATCATCTTCACAACCATCACCACATACTGTTTTGAGGACCACGGTCCGTGAGGTCATCCGTGGTCTTCACTTGGTTCAATCATCTTTCAGCTCCTCCAACCCTAAGAACTCGTTCGACTTCTAAGAGTAGCTCCGCGATTAGTAGTGAAGACCTCAGTCAGTGGTCTGTACTTTCTTAAATTTTTTGCATTTTCTTCTTTTCTTTCTTGTTTTACATCATATCCACATAAACGCATCATATCCATATAAATACACTCGATTCTAGTATTAATCCTTAATTTTCAAGCATCAAATATGCCAAGATTTCACAGCACATCAACTAGAGTTTGACGTTATGGTTTAGAGCCGTGAAGGTACCTCCTCGTACCTTAAAATTCATGTATACATGTTAGAACGTCAAGGTTTAAACCCCAAGGACCAACCATGGGTCCTTGAGGAAAAGCCTTACAGAGGCTGCCTGGTAGTGACCCACGGAGGGCACCCACGCCTCGTGGTTCAGCCTACCCCCAATGGGTGGGGGGTCGTGGCTTGCCAAAACAACCCCCAAAACCTCAACATATGGTTCACCAGCATACAACATGGGTCCATCCACGGACCGTGGTCGTGTGGTCATGGGTGAGGCCTGTACTTGCCAAAAGGTAGTTTTAATTAGGGGTATTATGGGGATTTCCTATTTTAAGTGGGATTAAGTGACATCATTTTATACATAATTAGGACACCTATATAAGGTTTTTTTAATTCACTAAACTAAATCATCTTCTTCATAATTTCTAAATCCCCAAAACATAAACCAAAACCCTCTCCAAAGTCCTCTCTCTAAAACTCCAAGGAAGAAGAAGAAAAAGGTGAAAGCTAGGGTTGAAGGAGCAATATTTTCTACTCAATTTCATGGGAATTCTTCACCAAGGTACGGTAGCTTTTCATCTATGAATAGAATTCCTCCAGAGAGTCCCTCCAAAACCCCAATTTCAAAACTAGAAATCCCAAAAGCTAGGGTTTGTCTTCAACATCATGGCTTCCTTTCAAAAATGTTTCTAATGATTGATTTATGATGTATTATGGATTAATTGATGAATTCCTATGGTTTTTATGTTGAATTTCCCCAAGAACCCATGAATTCCCCAAATTACTCAATTATAGTCTTATGAGGTGAATTGTTGATTATAGATGAATGCCATGAAATCATTCTTATAGTAATCAAGTTTGTTGAATTATGTTATCATCCATGTCTAATGTAGTAATTCTAGATGTGTTGGTGAATTATGATCTATGGTCCTTGCAGGGCAATGTATGAGAATTATGCATGATTATGAGACTTATGTACATCCTTCTAGATTACTTTGAGAGTAAAGTGATTATGATTATGATCTAGTTATTGTGTTGTTGGATGTTATCCTCATATGCAAACCTATGTATGAATATGACATGATGTGAAAAGTTTTCTCACAATATGACATGATGTCAAAGGTTTTCTCACAATATGACAATTGTACTAACCCATATTTTCTACATTTTTATTAAGTGTAGGGTTCGGTTGTTGAGATGATCTCCTTCTTGGTCAAAGCTTTGATCGAATATTCTCTTTGCTTTTGGTGAGTCCTCATGGTTCGAGGACGGAAGATGTTTCTTTCTAGTTTCTTTTCTAGCATTTCATTTGTGAACTATGTTGGTAGGGCTGTGACCCTATTTGATACTTAAATTGTAATAGATGGCTAATTGAGACAAGTCTAGACTTCCGCTTTGCTTTTATGAAAATTTCTTAAGACTTGAAATGTGTTTTCTTTTATATTGTTCTATACTTATGTTGTGATACACTAAGATGCTTACATGGTACCTTTAGAGGTTCTATATGCCTTGTTACATCTAGGGGGTACCCCTGGGTAGTGACACAACTTAAGATTCGTGAGAAGAATTACCGAACCCATGATCTAAAATTGGCTACTGTAGTGTTTTCTTCAAAAATATGACGTCACCACCTTTATGGTGTTCATATAGATGTGTTCACCGATCAGAAGAGTCTTCAGTATGTATTCAGTCAGAAAGAGCTTAATCTCAGACAGAGAAGGTGGTTAGAATTACTCAAGGATTATGACATGATTATTCTTTATCACCCAGGTAAGGCTAATGTTTTTACTTATGCTTTGAGCATATTGTCTATGGGAAGTACTTCCTGTGCTAAGGAAACCAAGAAAGAGTTAGTAAGAGATGTGCACAAACTTGCACGATTGGGGTCGAGCTAATGGATCCCAATAAAAAAGTAGTAATGGTGATGAATGAGGCTGAATCATCACTAGTGCCTGAAGTGAAAGAGTAACTTGACCAATACCTTGTTTTGCTTGAATCAAAGTCAAATGTTCATATGAAAAAAGTGATGGCTTTTGAATAGGGGGAGATGGTGTATTGAGGTATCAATGTAGATTGTGTGTACCAAAGGTGGATTAACTCCAAGAGAGGATCATGGATGAAACTCATAGCTCAAAATACTCTATCTATCATGGTTTCACAAAGATGTATCGTGACTTGAGAGAAGTCTATTGGTGGAGTAGCATGAAGAGGTGTATTGCAGGGCTTGTTAGTAAGTGCCCGAATTGCCAACAAGTCAAGGTAGATCACTAGAGTCTCGGTGGTATGGCTCAAAACATAGATCTTTAGGAATGGAAGTGGGATATGATCAATACGGATTTCATTACTGGTTTGCCGCGGTCTTGCAGGCAACATGACTCAATTTGGGTGATTGCGGTTAGAATGACTAAATCAGCACATTTCTTGCCAGTAAAGACTACCTATTCTGTAGAAAATTATGCAAGATTATATATTCAAGAGTTAGTCAGACTTCATAGAGTTTCGATGTCCATTATTTCGAATAGATGTGAGCAATTCACCACACAATTTAAAAAGTTTTGTTATTTTAGAGCTAATGTTAAGTTTTGATGATTTAACAAACTTAGAGATCTAACAAGGAACCAGATCCTTGTTATTGGGACTGATGACACTGAAATGAATGAATAAACTTAGTGTGAGGAATATTTGTGTATAATCATCAAAAAGGGGGGGAAATGTTATATTCTAGGTGTTTTGATGATCCTCACAAATGCAGTGACCTAGTCCCTGGCAGAGTACTCTCGTCCAGATCCAAATGGGGTACAAATGTAAAGTTGTCACGTCAGATGGTAGGTGAAAAGTGCAGTGTACTGCACCAATAGGAAGAGCGGATGAGATTGTTTGTTTCAGTGGCTCTCAAATGTAGAGACCTGGTCCCTAACAGAGTTCTCTCCATCAGATGCATAATGGAGTAAAACTATAAAATTGTCCTGTCCGTGGTTGGTGAGGCGCCAGCGTACTGAACCAATTAGAATGGACGGGGGTGTTTGTCCAACGGGTAATAACTCTTTATGGTTGATAATTTCAACATGACAAACAACATATTAAATTCATTCATTCAAAGGAGGAAGTGAGACAACAAGCCTTTCAAGAACTCACAAAGAACATTTCAAGGGACCTGTTCCCTGCAAGATTGCTTACATAAAAAGGTGACAAGATAGTTGTCTGAAAAGTTGCCACCTCTTATGTGGAATGTGCACAACTTTTCTAAACAACTGGCCT